TTGTATCTGAGACAGCTATGCGAAATAAAAACCAAATAAATACATTTCCTAATGCGACTTCTCAGGTAGGGATAGAAATGGTAAAATGGATGAGGCATTAAAATGTGCGGCATGTGATCAAACTATAGCGCTCATCATTAAACAAAAATTTAAAATATAGGCTTGCGTTGTCATGTCTCGATCGACATCTTCAAATTTAGGATATTTATATTATATGTAACATACAAACCAAAATTTTAGCAGAATTTTTTTATCATAGATGAATAGAGCTCGTCGATTTATATAAGAAAAGTATGTTTAAAATTCAAAGTCAAATATTTTATGAAAAAGTCCAAGATAACGTAATTCGTACATATATTGGAAAATAGACCGAGAATTCTGATTTTCATTAAAATTGTTTGGAATTTGAAGCAGACTCTTATTTTATAACTCTACGATTTCTATTCAATTATGATAAAAGAAGAAAATATTCTGCTAAAATTTTAATTTGTGAGTATGTGATGTATAATATAAATATCATAAAATTTGAATATATCGATCTAGGCTTGATAAAACAAGCCTGCATTTTAAATTTCTTCGTCTAATGAAGAGAGTTGCAACTTGACCTGAATATATCGAACCCTGTTAACTAACAATAACAAAGATCTCTATTGCTAGTCAAAAAATAACCATGTTAATGCCTCACACGCAAAACATTTTCCGGCATTGTTTGTGATCATTACACTATTTTTACCGCTGCCTGGAAAGCATCCATCACCGTAAGAACCCCCATTGCTGACTATTCAATTTAATACTTGATTCTTCTCGACACGTCTAAATAACGGAGATATGATTAGACAATGAAGAGAGCAATGAATAGATAATGATGAGAGATTTCTAGCTTGATTAAGAATTCATTCTTTTTCCATGGTATCATGCCACTGCGGTGTTTACCTTACTTTTCTTCATATTTCATTGGCTCTTTCTCATCGCTCGTATCTTATCCCTTATTTCCGTACGAGAGAATAGCAAGATGAACATCGTTTCTTTGATTCAATGTTTCCATAGAAACAGTTCTAATGTCGTTGACGATAGTGAAAAAAATAGATATAAAATCATCAACTAATTATTATCTTTCATCGGATGGTTATTTTAATATTTCACAAAGTATTCATTAAAAATTCCACATTTTGGTAGAAAGTCACTAGCGTAATGAGTTCAGCAGAAGTTTTTGATATCGTCATATTAACTGTTTCAAGCTTGGGTTTACTGATTTCTATTATGGTTGTTGCAGTCACTTATATTGGTTGTCGTCCATTAACATCGGACGTTCCAGTTGTTTTGACCTGCAATACTTATCTAGCTTTGATCATGTGCTGTCTCACTTTAATTGAGCTTTATGCAAGAACTCTCTATGGCGATCGTAATCCGTTTGTTGAACTCAACAGTCGTTGGTGTCCTATTGGTTTTTATTTTCTTTTTGCTTCTGTCGCTGCCCTATATTATTCATATATTCTTCAAGCCATGTTTCGACTCTTTCGAGTAGTGTTCTACAAACACAAAATTTTACAATCATTTCGTATTTTTCGCATTGCAATCATTGTACAGTGGTTTTTTGCATTTCTAATAATTCTTCCATTTCTCCTATTGAATTATATAGAATATCTACCAGCCGAGCACAATTGTCAAATGTCACTGAAAAATCTTCGCACATTTCTATTAGGATTTCTATGTGCCTATTTCGTTCCTATGAATATCGTACTTATTATATATATTTACATCGTCCAATATATTCGTCGCACGGCTCATATACAACAAAATCGACAGAATGCCAATAAACGAGATATGACTGTTCTTAAAAGGCTTCTTATACTGTTTCTAGTGCTCATTATCTTTGGTCTACCAACACTTTTGATTATGATCATCTATTGGATCACTCAATATTTGACACCATTGATTTATCGTATACAACATTTGACTGTAGCGTTGGGTATAGTGGCTGCCACGATTATTCTTCCGTTTATAACACCACGAATACGGAAAGCATTCAGTGGAGCTCGAACGCGAGTCCATCCGACTGACACAGCACTAGATAATTCAAAACGAGACAATACAACATTTATGAAAACAATTTAACAAAACTTGCTTACATGTGGATGAAATGCTATCGGCCTACAACTATTGAACAGTGTGAAAATTCTTCCATCTATGCGGCCATAGTATCAAGAATATATTGCGAATACTAGTGAACGACCGAGTTCACTATGACATAAACAAATATGAATACATAAAGGTCGTCCACTAAGTTTTGATCTGCATAATCGATATTATTTTTTTTACATATTTCTTCATTGGGGTGTAGGTGTGGGTGAGCGGTATATTAGCACCTATACCGATAGTCACAGCCACAGCTTCATTCTTCTACAGACAAAGGCACAGAAACCTGCATCTAAACCCACGTCCTTTCAGCTATGAATTGGAAAGCAGAGTTTTCTGACGGTCATTCGCTTTTTAATGTAAAAGGTCCCAATAAAAAGCATTTGGTAGTGCTAGAACATTATGTGAGGTACTGCGACGTGCTCCAGGATATCCTAGCAAGAGTCAATATTACTCCTCGAGATCGATCTCATTAAAGGTGTGAGTGTATGGATATCAGTGTGGCTATCGATATACGTGTTAATTTACTGGTCACCCATACCTATCCTTTTATCCATTCCGTGGCTTCAATCTCCTACACCATAATAGAATGTGTCTACATCTCTATTACTATACTTAGTTAATATGTAAAACTTGTTCTGCAACAAAACGATCGTATTTCATGGTTTTGTTAAGGAATTTCTCTTTTTATTCATCTCTCATAGATTCATAATTGACAATCGGACGGCACATTTAGTTTATTGATGTGAAGAGTTAACTGTCGAATGGTTGCGGCTGAACGTTGATGATAACTATTTGTCTGTGTCTATGGATCATTTTATAAATAGAATATACGACAAAAGGAATCATGAGCTTCAGAGTAACTGTCAGTCCACCATAAAGACCAAAAATCGCAGTCATCACAGTGATTAAACTATTTCGTTTGATGAATGTAACGTAGCATGAACGAGGTTGACACTGTTCGAAAAATTTGTTATATGAGGTATTTGATGAACAAGTTTCGATAAACATTTGTTGAACGATCGAGTCAACAGTGTCATTTTCAGCAAAGTGAGTTTCACTTATGTTCAATGGTACAACTTCGGATAAAGACAGACTCAAATGAGCATTCAC